AAAAAAAAAAAAAAAAAAAAAAAAAAAAAAAAAAAAAAAAAAAAAAACAACTGAGTCATCTCGATCGGGGTGGGTGAGGATTCTTACCTAATTGTGATTTGGAGGCTCTATTACTTCATATTGCTCATTGCTATGACAAAACGCCTGACGTGAACAGTTGAAAGAAAGAAGAGGTCTGTTTCATAGTCTGAGGGTAGAGTATACAGTGGCGAGGGAGCCGTGGCAACAGGAGCATGAGGTGGCTGGTAACATCGCTGTCCACACATTCGTTCAGGAAGCAGTGAAAGACAGCCGGTGCTCATGGGGCAGGCTTAACTTTCTCCTATTTATTCAGTCTGGGACTGCAGCCTATCTACTTTTAAGGTAGCTCTTTCCCCCTCAGTTAAGCCTCTCTGTAAACACCCTCAAGGGCTCTCCCAGAGGTGTGCGTCCTAGGCAATTGTAAAGTCCGTCAGGTTGACCATGAAGATTACCCATCATGCAGTATTAAAATTTACAGTGTGAGGTAGAGCGAACGGCCACTGATTATAATCACTGTGAAGATGTGGGTAGGGGTTTGGTGTCCTTCTTTTCCGAAGCTCCCTTAAGTCACTGATTGAAGCTCACTATGTGGATGCCATTCATAAAAAAACGTTCCACAGTGCCCTCGCTCCACAGGTGATTTAATGACGTGTGCAGACCGGGAGCCGTTAACAAGACCTTGATAAATGTTTTCAAATGCTTCCTTTCATTCATACCCATTCCCACTTGCGTTCTAGAGCATTTCTGGTGAGCATTCTTTTCTGACATTTACTAAATGTCAACCATAGTCCGTGTTTAAAACCTTGGCCTAGGGCCAGTGGGCTTACCAATTTATATTAGCCTGTTAAGAGAAATTAAATAAAACGCAAAAGTGGAATGAAAATTGCTTTGAAGAGAAATGGCTGCAGACGGTGAAATGAACCGTTAGTAGCCTGATACTCGTTCTCGTGCGGAGGTCAGCACTGTGTCATTTTGTACTGTACCATTGCCAAATGCCAAAAGGAAGTCCAAAGAAAATTAAGAATAATTCTTTGATATGGCAGCTGTTTACCAGTTTCTCTTCTGGCTCGGCCACTAAGAACACAGAGAAGCACTCTGTCAGTGTCTTGGGCTGGAGCTCCCCTAGCTCGCTCCCTGCCTCCTGGAGGCACATGTCGGTACAGAATGCCCATGGCTGGGAACTTTTTCCTATCACCATAATCAAGCGTATATGTGAAGACGTATCAGTTCCTTAAACGGCCTTTATTTTTAAAAAGAATAGCAAATACTCTGTGAGATATTTCAGCAAGTATTTATTCCACAGCTGTGGTATACTGACCTTAAGAAAGAATTTATCTCTGACTGAGGCACACTGCACACGCTGTAATCTTACGTTGAGAAAAATCGAAGTCAAGGGATCTGGAGTTCTATGCCAGAGCCTCACTACATAGCTAATTCAAGGCCAGCATGGCTAACACTGCCTCAAAGGTCTCAAAAGGATAATGCTGTGATGATGATAATGGCAACAACGATGATGACAATGACAACCACGATGATGATATAGCTCTGAGACGCTTCTATGCACTAGCATTTTATACACTTGGTTGCTTCTTATGATCTGTGTTTATGTCAGGACTTTGCTATGTAGCCCATGCCGGTCTAGAACTTATGACCCTACTTCCTGTATCAGCCACTAAGTACTGGGATTACTAGTATGCACCACCACACCCAGCTCTAATTACTGTCTCAATATAATAGTCGTCTGGACTGATTCACTGTTTAGTCTTCCTGTCTATTTCCAGCGCAGTATGAACAATAGATTAAGCTAATTGTGTCGCCGAAGCACTCTGTCCTAGACCGTTTCTATCATTCACTTGACGTTTAGTTCTCAAATGACTTTTTAAGATGCACAAAAAATGCTTCAAGTTTAATACCAAATGTGATGGTAGTGTAAATGCTGATGCCTTCTGTTCCTGGTCCACGATTGCGGAAAAAGCTATCTGATTTCTGCATGTGTGTGAGTCTTCATGCCACTGAAGAAAACAAAGCATGTGGACTACGCTCTAGCTTTGGAGATTTACTTTTTTATTTGTTGAGATTCACAATGGTGTCTGAAAACAGGTTGGACGTCTACCCAGTTCCCCGCTCTTAATTTCAGTAGCTTTAAGATGTTTTAATCGTATAGCACATAACCTATGACCAGCTCTCAGAAGCTCAAAACATTTTCTTTTCAAGACATTGAATAAAACCTAGTTAGTATTTGGACTGTTTTCTGGTCTTTGTTTGTTTGTATAGATATAGGAAAGTGTGTGCATGTGAGAGGCAGGTACCCACAGGGGCCAGAAGAGGATGTGGGGTCTCCTGGAGCTGGAGTTATAGACGGTTGTAAGCCACCTGATGATATAGGTGCTGAGAACTGAACCCTGGTCTGCAAGGACAATACAGCTTTTAACCACTGACCATTGCACTATCTCTTAAGCCCCCTCAACAGCTTCTTATGCATTCTCTTTGCAATGAATTTCTGATGTCACTTGCTGGTACTTAAACATTATGTCTCTTGAATGTCACCTACACATTTGCTTCTATGACATATATTATCTTCTTGTTTTGAGTTTCTCTTAAAGTGACAGACGGGTTATCGAGAACCATTTATCCAGTTGTTTCCGCTTCGCTTATTGATCACAAAGTGATAGCATTTCAATTTCCTTTTCCAGGAAGCAGGAGTAGTTGTTCATTTTTGTTTGGTTGGTCTGTCTTTAAGGGTTTCTCCTCTTCAGAAGTCTGAGGTTGTTGAGATGGTTAAGAAACAAGTCAAAGTCATCACGCTCGCCATCGGAGACGGAGCAAATGACGTCAGCATGATACAGACGGCCCACGTGGGGGTTGGGATAAGCGGCAATGAAGGCTTGCAGGCAGCCAACTCTTCAGATTACTCCATTGCTCAGGTAAAGCCTCCTGCAGTGACACAGAGCCCCACCCCTTTGCGTCAGCCAGAAGTGAGGGGGAAAATACTCATGTCTTCCCATTCCTCTTCTAGTTCAAATATTTGAAGAATCTGTTGATGGTTCACGGTGCCTGGAATTACAATAGAGTCTCCAAGTGTATCCTGTACTGCTTCTACAAGAACATCGTGCTGTACATCATCGAGGTAGCAGCGTGGTGAACTTAGCCCCGCCCCTGACCGTCATGGTTCCAACTGGTCTCTTAATGGGATCGCTCTCGTTGTTTCTATGTGTACTTTTTCATCTTAATTCCTTTTTTAAGGAAAAGAGTTTTAGAATTTATTTTATTTTTATGTGACTGGATGTTTTGCCTGTGTGTCTGTCTGTCTGTGCACCGTGTGCTTGCAAGGCCCACAGAGACCAGGGTGGATCGCCTGGATCAGGAGTTCCAGATGGTTCTTAGTCATCATGTGGGTACAGAGAATCAAGCCCTGAGGGATACTCTCCTGCTATGCTGTATGCAAGCATTCACTCGTCAATAAAAATGCCAGTGAGGCTGAGGCAGGTTTAGAAGATGGCGGAGAGAAAAAGAGAAAGAGGGGGAGGGATTATGGGATAGAGTCAAATGCAGGAAAGATTCACCGGGAACTTTGAGGAAGAGGGTCAGTCGGTCACATGAATTCCGAGGACAGCTAACAAGCCGTGTTAGCTCAATAGAAGAGAACATAAGGGTAATTGAGTTATGAGCTAGTTGGGGAACAGACCCAGGATTATGGCCTAAGCATTTACTCATATAAAATTCAGCCTCGGAGTTGATATTTCAGGGAACTTGTGCATGGAGAGAAAGCCTACAAGCTACAAAACCCAGATCCTCTAGAAGAACAGTTGATGTTCTCAACTGCTGAACCATTTCTTCCCTTTTTATAATTTCTAAATGTGTCAGAGAAGATGTCAACCATGAGAATAATCAATGGTTAGACATTAGCTAAAAAGGTTAGGTCACTTTGGTAGAAAGTTGACGAGGAATTGCTAATGAGTTGTGTTTTCAGTTTTAAAAGATGATAAAGCTTGAACAAGTACAGAATTTCTTCCACCTACTGTTAAGGGGTAGTACACACATGAAAAACTGTATTAGAAAATAATGATGAAAAATAAAAAAAAAAAAATCAGAGAAAAGTAAGGGATGCCGGAAGCAAAGTGGGGGATATGGTTGGTTCTAGGTCAGGGACACAGAGTGCAGTCAGGAAGCATAGTAGGTTTAGCTGCTGGCACTCTTTTGAACTTTTTTTTTTTTTAAGATTTATTTTATGGGCTGGAGAGATGGCTCAGCAGTTAAGAGCACTGACTGCTCTTCTAGAGGTCCTGAGTTCAATTCCCAGCAACCATGTGGTGGTTCCCAACCATCTGTAATGGGATCCGATGCCCTCTTCTGGTGTGTCTGAAGACAGCTACAGTGCACTCAAGTACATTAAATAAATAAATAAATAAATAAATAAATAAATAAAATCTTTTTTTAAAAAGATTTATTTTATATATGTGAGTACATTGTTGCTGTCTTCAGACACACCAGAAGAGGGCATTGGATCCCATTACAAATGGTTGTCAGCCACCATGTGGTTGGTAGGAATGGAACTCAGGACCTCTGGAAGAGCAGTCAGTGCTTTTAACTACTGAGCCATCTCTCCAGCCCTGTCTGATGCTCTTTTGATGTCTGGGTTTGGCGGGTTTTCCTGCCATCCCCCTCCCATTTCATTTTCCAGTGGCATTAGTATCTCTTGGACCCACATTCATTGGTCCAATGGTATTGCTTGCCATAATTTCTGCACACCCAGGAAACATAAGCTTTCTTTCTAGTTTGTATCTCCAGAACCCAATGTCGATAGGAAGCTTGTTCACTTCTCTGGCAGAAAGTACCATATTTCTCTCAGACAATCCACTAGGCATTTTGAGATTCTGAGACCTAAGACCTAGTATAGAGCTTCTTCTATATGAGGCACAGCCACCCCTTGCTATATATCTCCTGTGGTGTTTGGATATGGCAAACAATAAGATTTTGGATAAGGAATTTCTCTAAAATATTCTATTCCTGGTTCTTTCCACATATCAAAAATGACACCATCTTACAAAGGAAACCTTGGGACTCTTACTTGGTAAAGGAGTAGACTTGTAAGCACAAGGGCCTGAGTTTGAATCCCAGAGCCCATGTAAAAAGGTGGCATATGTTTTAATCTCTGCACTGAAGAGGCAGATGTTTGAAGCTACCCAGCCTGCCCAGCCTGCTCAGAGAGCTCCAGGACAATGTTTTCAATAAACAGTGGGTAGTTCCTGAGAAAAGACACCTGAGGTTGACCTCTGGCCTTCATACACATGCACACACGTGAGCACCTGCACATATATAAGCACATATATGTACCCAGAAAATAAAAGCTTGCCCTGTAGATATTTGGCCATCAGATAACCAGCCTCAGCCCAGCAACTACAAAGTAATCCAAGCACAGTCTGTAACCCCAGGGAGCTGGCCAGAAGGAAACAACAGAATCCATGTCTGTAACTTTAAATTCCCTAGGTACTACTTTAGCAAAATGTGACAACAAAAACCCAAATTGATTTCAATATCATATTTTAACTCAACATATTAAAAATATTACCATATTCACCAAGTAAAACTTTTTTTTTGTATTTGTGTATACATTCTACATTCTTTCCTCCATGCCCAGTGTTTGAAATCTGGTATTTTGCCTTCAACACATCTCAATTTTGAACCAAGACGTAATCAAGTTCTCTAATGCGCTGTGGCCTGCAGAACAGAGCTAACAGCATAGTGTTGGTGGGTAAGTGAACAAGGAAGGGTTATCTGCTGGTTTGTTTTTTATTTCTTTTTTCTTTTTTCTTTCTTTTTTTTTAAGGTGTTTTTCGAGACAGGGTTTCTCTGTGTAGTCCTGGCTGTCCTGGGACTCACTCTGTAGACCAGGCTGGCCTCGAACTCAGAAATCCACCTGCCTCTGCCTCCCAAGTGCTGGGATTAAAGGCGTGCACCACCACCGCCCGGCTTGTTTTTTATTTCTTAACATTATTTATCTTGTGGGTACATAAGTAGACATGTGTACACTTCAGAGGAAAGATCAGAGGACAACTTGCAGGAGTCTAGTCTCTCCAGGTCTATCCTGGGTTCCGGTGATGGAACTCAGGTCTTCAGGCTTGGCAGCAAGCACCATTACCTCCTGAGACATCTTACATAGCTCCAGGGACTTGGACGTGACTGGAGGTGACAAGGTAATGAAGAAAAGACAAATACATAGAAAGCTGGGGCTGAGTTGTCTGGGCTGTCTGCTGGAGAAGCCATAGCACCCAGAAGCTCAGTGTGCTTTCTATACAGAGGTGAACAGAGAGGCAGGGTGATTGCATCCAGCTCAAAAGGGAGGCAAAGGTATTCCATATAGATAAACAGTGAGGCAGGGTTTATGGTACACAGCTGGATAAAGCAGCAGGGTTAGCTACTCTCTGTAAGGCAGTCTCTATAGGGAAACAGTATTCAGGCTGTGAATATCTGGGGAGAGAAAGCTATGGTGGACATTTTCACCCTGCATTGCCAACACTCCACACTTGGTGCCCTGAGCAAGGCTTTTGCCATGTTCCCTGAGCCTCGTCCCAGGGGGAAGGCTTTGCCATTTTCTCCATGACTCCCAGGCTACAGAGTGGTGATGTGACCATGCCCATACCACCAGCAGCACACATCCACTCAGTACTGTGCAGGCACACTGAGGGCTTCCTCTGCTCCCTCTGTGTTCTTATTTTATTTAATGCCTGGCTCATCCCTGGGTCCTCAGAAACTGTATCATCATGATGAACCTCTAGGTATTACGAGTTTCTCATTCAGCTCTTAAGGATGTGCATAATTTGTTAAGAGAACTATCTTTCCACTGTATCTAGGACCTGCCCATATCCTCATAGATTTGCTGAGAGCTCCCTTACAGATAGATGGCTGTCTTCGCTACTTCCCTCTCCATTCTGAGGACTTTCCTATGCATCAATTAGAAGGACATGGCCTGCCCACTTCTTTATGGGCCCACATCTCACACCGGGGCTACTCGACTCCACATCTGCAGTTGGAAAGTGCTAAGCATCTGGCTCAGTTGTCTCTGTCAGAATTCTAAACTCTGAGTTAGATTCGGATGTTAAAACTTAAATTTGAGGCATACGTGTCTTTACTAGTCACTCAGCATCTGTAGTTGGGTTACCATGCTGTTGGCAAAGGTAGCCATATACTTGGAAACATAGCTTCATTGGTAGCTGATAGATTTGGTCTGGAAAACCTGTGTTTTAAGACTTAATTTCAAAGTAGTTGTAAGTTTTGTTTTTTAATCTTTGAAGTCAGGCTTTTGGTACACACCTGTAATTCTAGTACTTGCCGACAAAAGCCTGAGGATTGCCTGGGTACCTAATGAGACTGTCTCAGAAAACAGACAACAATAACAAAAAGCCAAGTATCTGTTTTCTATATAAATATATGGTTCTTCACTGTAAAAAATTATTTTATATATCTAACTTATATATTCTACATATCTAACTTACCTAATGTAATTCTCACTTAAATTATTGAGAGTGTGATACTCTGTTTACATAGATTTTTTTTAAAAGTCTTTTAAACATAGATGCATATGAAGTATAATCTTAATGAAATAAATTTACATTTTAAGTAGAAACTAGTTGACAATTATTTTAAATCTCGGTTGACAACAACAGTAAACAGAAAACTTCTGCACTAATGAAGAGAATAAAAACGTTTTACTTAGGTGAAAATGAAGTCTAAAAATTCTGTTTCTAACCCAGAACTATGTGATCTGTAGTTACCACACACTAAATTTGACTTGGCTTTGAATTTAAAGCCTCTTCATGAGCTATTTAACACCGATCACATTCTTAATGGGTTAAAAAGGGAAGTGAGAGAGAAACTTTACTGGAAACCTCATATTTATTTTTCTGTTAGTACTTTTTGGAAATGTATTTTGAATATAATTCAACTGTCTTGGAAATAGATTGAACTTTTAAATCAATTCCCCCCATACCCAACTTCAGCCAGCTAAAACAAGTTCTGCAGATGTTAATGGTTCATGTCAATACTGAGAATGAATAGGCAGAAAGCACACCATTGACTCTTTCCAGCGAGGACAACTGCCAGTCTCGAATCTCTCCTTTCTGGTTTTTTTTTTTTTTTTTTTTTTTTTGTGCTGATCAGGCGTGGGAGCAGGGAATGCATTGACTCTTTGCAAGCTGCTGCTTAATATGCAGAAGTGCTCCATCAGGAAAACGTCTGTGGGGCTTTAACTGAAACGCCTGTGCAGGGAAAGGGGGGGGGGGGCTTGGAGAAGAATTCATAAAGAACAGTCTTAAACCCAAAGGGTGCAGTAGATTGTCAGGGAAAAATGCTTTTCTGTCAGAGAATTACAGAGGGTATCACTCGCTAGCCCCTTCACTGCTGTGAATTACAACCACACACACACACACACAGAGAGAGAGAAAGAGAGAGAGAGAGAGAGAGAGAGAGAGAGAGAGAGAGAGAGAGAGATTCAGCAGGTGGCAATAGGAAACCTGCTCCGGGTAGCTGCGTGTAGGTGTTCACTTAACTCGTTGGCTCCTTCTGAACCCTCTGATTTCCTTTCTAACAGAGAAGAGATTTTCTTTAAGATGATTGGTGGTGTCTACGTTTTCTTAGACCCCGAAACAATGTAGTGGTTCTCCTTCCCAGAAAGTCATTAAAGTCAATAAGGTGATACTTTCCCAGGAAGCGCGGCTGGGAAGTTAAATAATCTGGGCACGGCCCCCAGAAGGCCTGGTGCTTGCTTGCTTTATCAGTGACTTTGGTGGAGTGAAGAGAGGGAATCTATGTGCTTATGCTAATTCAGGTCCTGCCTTACTTAGGGATGTGTTTCTAAGATATGGCTCAAGCCGAAAATCTCAGACTAACCTGAACTTAGTAGACTACTTCTGACTTTCTCTTTTTCTCAAAAAAAAAAAAAAGTTTAGAGAGAAAATTTGAATAATGAAATATTTACATAAAGATGTCTTGTAGTGAAAGACTCTTTCCTTATCTAGGCCTTCCAGTCCATTCTCTTACCAAAAAAAAAAAAAAAAAGCAACAAGAAGATGAATGTTTTGAAATACAAAGGACACATTTCTAAGCACACGTCACATACTTTTCATTCAGATGATAAGGTGGTTAAAGTGTCTTAATACCTGTTTAATAAAAGCTTTCTATTATAATACAGTCCACTTATATATTTTAAAGTGTGCTTTGAACACAAACTCGCTGTTTATCGGTGAGTTATTTTGTGTTTGAAACTTTCCATCTGTCTTCATTGACTCAAAGGAGAGTCTTAAAGTCTAATCTTGTTCTTAAATTAACTAAAGAATGTCACACTGGAAACAAGCTAAAGGGCCACTTACATCTATAATTATTGACCATGCATAATTTATTAAAATAAACCTATACAGTATCGATACTGATGAATTGATGCTTTAACAATGCATTTAGAATTCGTTACGCCCTGTGAGCCAAGTCATGTCCATTAGACTAATTTGTAGACATTCACTCTTACACACGCTCAATCATTCCCTTCTGCTATAAAAGCGAAGCAGGCCAGTACAGAAACTGTTCTGGGGAAGCTTGCCTGGGTTCATACTGGTAAATGGAGAGTTTGTAGCGGTTCATGTTTTGGTAATGAGGTTAAAGGAAACATAAAGTGTATCAAAGTTCTTGTGTCTCTGAAGTACTCTCATGAACCATGAATCAAGAACTTCTTCCCTGCTGCCTGCTGGGACTGTTTGCTGTGTTCTTCCCTGCTGCCTGCTGGTGCTGTGTGCTGTGTTCTTCCCTCATGTCTGCTGGTGCTGTGTACTGTGTTCTTCCCTCATGTCTGCTGGTGCTGTGTGATGTGTATGTGTGATCTACTTGCTGGGCCAGGCATTGTATTTTTCCAAGTCTGCTTGAGTTTTAATTATATTTAGGTTGGCTTTTTAAAATGCATTCTTTTTTAAGGTATTGTCAGTAATCATTTTAATTTCGTATGTGTTTCAAATTTGTTGAATAAAATTATCCCTAAATTTTGTTTTCTAAGTTAAGATTTCTCTTTCAAAGAGAATTACAAACATAGGAAAATAGTATGTTCTACTAATTAAAGATTTGATTTTTATTCAAGCATTAAAAGTTAAGTTCAGTTCACAAGCATCTGTAACTATACCTCCAGGAGATCCTGCATGTCTGATCTCCTCAGGCTCCTGCGCTCAAGTGCACATACCCACATATGCACACACATAACTAAAAATAAATCTGTAAGTTTAAAATATGCCAACATATAAATTCAAGTTTAATGTTCTGATGGCAGTAATTATCAAGAACTGTTTTAAAAACTAAAACATACTTAATAGATTAATTCTACTTTAAGTATCTATCCTAAGAAAAAGGGAAGATGTGTAAGATTTCAGTTAGGAATCATTTCCGATAGCAAGAGCTGTTAGGCTGGCTAAATCTCCACACTGCAAAGGTTCTGAATCCATTAGCAGTATTATAAGATGCTATGAGAACTCCATTAAGGGGGGGAAGTAGGCTGTGACACTATATACAGCTGTGACATTATTTGTATAAACTACACAAGTGACACCAAAGAAAACGATGGAAATTATTTTCTAAATAAATATGTGTAATATCTATAATTTTAAAAAAATTCTCTTTAACTGAATCCTTGAGGGGATTTTGAGAGAAGAATTAAAGCTTTCAGAATTTAATGACGTAAACATATTCATGTGTAGAAACAAGATGATATCTAATTTTTCTAGCTCTGTGATTGCTTGGCCATGTAGATATTTAGATTTAGCAAATAGAGCAAACTCTGGGTCAAATGGTGGCTATTTAATGAAGATGGCCCTTTAAATCAAAAATAAAGACAAGGAATACCGTCGTCCAGAGACCCACAGATGACTCCTCAGGGCTACTTTGCAGGCTTCAGTATGCAGCAGTTTCTAGGTGATGTGTTGAAGTTCTGTGTCCTAATTCCAGGGTCTTGTTTCCTTCCTAGATCTGGTTTGCCTTTGTCAATGGCTTTTCTGGACAGATCCTCTTTGAAAGATGGTGTATAGGGCTTTATAATGTGGTAAGTTGTGCACATTTGATAATTCCTATTTTGTTTAATACTAAAAGTAAATGTAGTACCGGTGCATCTGGCAGTCTGACGTAATGAGAAATATGTCACTCTAGATGTTTACAGCGATGCCTCCCTTGACACTCGGAATATTTGAGAGATCGTGCAGAAAGGAAAACATGTTAAAGTATCCGGAGTTGTACAAAACATCCCAGAATGCTCTGGACTTCAATACCAAGGTAGGAGCTTGTGTCCTCTCATCTCTTCAGAGGGGTTTTCTCGGTCGCTGCAAGCTTGGAGCACCTCAGCCAAGCACTCCAGGGTCCAACATGTAGCAAGTCACGGGAAGCTTCCAATATGGAAGGCAAAGGAGTTTTGTTGGTTGGATTAGTTTGAGAGATTTGTTGTTGTTGTCTGTTGTTTTGTTGTCTGTTTGTTGTTTTGCTTTCTTTAGTGGTTTTTTGTTTTCTTTAGTGTTTTTTTTCTTTTGAATGTTAAAATAAAACCATATTTCATTGGGTTCTTAGACAGCAATGAGTAGGCATGGCCTTCCAGGCTACACCACAGTCCTTTCAGACAGTGTAGGAAAAACTCACTTCTCACAGGCTAGTCACCTGGGACTAACCTGGCTGGCTGTACTGTGGGAGTATTCTCTCATTCTTTCCTAATGCAGGGAGGAATGATGTTCTCCTGAGAATGAGAGGGCTCGAGTCGGGCATTAGAACTGTCGTCTCTAGGAAGTAACCTCTCATTTACTCAGTAGCTCTGAGGCTTAAAATCAAAAACACAAGATGAAGTATCCAGCATGTCACCTAAAACCATCATCTGCCTGGGTTGTTGTTTTTATTTTTTGTTGTTTGTTTGTTTGTTTGTTTTTTAATCTAGAACATTATTTTCTTTTCTTTATTAGCATGAAAACTCCCATTAGCATAAGAAGCAACAGGTTTCATTTTGGAGTTCTCCTGTGCGGTTATTTTGGTTTACCCTCTTTGCGGCTTTTCCTCTCCTCCCTTCCTCTCATCCCCATTTGTGTCTTTCCACCCCCAGTTGTCCCCCTTGTACTTTCAGATCTCATGTGTTCCATCACCCTCCTCCTCCCTCTGTCGAGCCGCTCCCTCCCTCCCTCCCTCCCTCCCTCCCTCCCTCCCCAACCTCTTTCTATCTCTTCCCCTCAATCTACACTCATTTTCACCTGAACATAAATGGATAAAAATGAGGAGCTAAGAGCCACACACAGGAGAGAACACGCAGTGTTTGTCCTTCTGTGTCTGGACCGCCCGCCTCAGTTACTATAATATTTTCCATTGCCATCCATTTCCCTTCTAGGTTCATGGGCTTATTTTCTTTTACGGCTGAATGAAATACTACCATATAAATGAACCACATTTTTAATGTCCATTCATCTGCTGGTGGACTTTTGAGCTGATTCTGTTGCCTGGGTTCATACACTGCCTATCTAACACATCATAGGCTAGCGACTTCTCTGCTCTGTGATATTTTAGCCATTCCAGCAACAAAAGACTCCACTTCTGCATAGCTTACCCTTCTGCAAGGATATCTTTTAGCATGTTTTTACACTAGCATTATGTAACCTATTCAGGTTTCTGTGTGGTATAACTGGGAGGGGGGATTTAAAACGTCAGCAACCAAGGTAGATGCTATCCTGAAACTCTAATATCGTGTATATGAAAATGAACAAATATGATATCATTTTACTGAATCATTTCCACTTGATTTAGTGTATGTTTAGTAGTAAATTAGTGGCAATCGGGTTATAATTGCAATTCAGTGTTTTGAATTTATAGTTGCTTAACATGAGAACTTTTAATACTTATTAATTCATAAAGCTCTCTAGTGCTGAGTATCCTTAGTATACCAAGAACAAAGTGAAGCAAGTGCTTAGGTGCCTTTATACCATGTACCATAAATGATACTGTTGAGTTCATAACCAAGAAGATGGTTTTCTCCTGAGATGCGGTCTTCATGAGCTCACTTGTACAAGGATAGCCACTAGCATGCATGCATATAACTTCATGGCTTCAGGTTAAATAACTGAAACTAGCTAATTAAAGTATCAAATATCTGGAAGCTTGCTTAATTTATACTACTGGTTCTGACGTGTGTTTCTAGCGTTATAGTCTTAAACTGTCTCATAGTACACGATGTCTAATATTTTAATAGTTTTTTTAGGTTGGTTATTTGTTTGTTTATTTATTTATTATTTATTGTGAACAACTTGTATCAAGTTCTTCCCACATTGCTGCCATGGTTTTTGCTGTCTGTGGGGGACATTTTCAAACAATGAAAAGCTATAGTCAGGGCAGATGCATGGGTCATGAGCTCTTGCTTTCCTGCAGAAGTGTTCTGGGAGCCAAGTGCAAATGGGTACATCGGCAATGACTCTGATCAGCCGAGTGGGTTTTGTCACGCTCAGCTCTAGGTCCTTGTCTCCCTCCCGTATCGGGAACTCTGTGGTACTCTCACATTAGCTCGCCAGCCGCAGATGGGCCACGTCCACCTTGAATGAAAGCATACACTGATCCTCCCAGGACAACCCAGTCATCCTCTCATACCCTGCACACAGGGCAACATGGGCACAGTTTGGTGCACATATGACAGTGTGCAGTGTTGATGGAAGAGCAACTTTTTCCTTCTGTCTTTTATTGTTGAAGAAGTACTTCATTATCTTAGAGCCCAGGCATTTAGAAAGTCTTCAGAGCAACTCAATTGGCTTGTGCAATTCTCATATCTCTTTTAATATGTATTTAGCTTATGTATTCAGCTAGCCATCTATTTTTCTAAGGCTCAGGGATTTGAGGGGGGGGTGAATGATTTCAGTCAAACTGTTTGATTGAATCCCCATCTAAATGTTTTAAAATTCAGGAACAAATGGTTACAAAATGCATAGTTGTCTATACAGCGGTTGCCGAGGGTCCCCAGTGTGGAGCACTGTGGTCTTGAATGATGAGGCTTACATTTGTTATGGTAAAAGGGGTCGGAGGTTCTGAGGTCATGACAGGGGTTAAAGGATTAGCATGTGACAATAAGTATCAGTCAGGGAAATGGAAAAGTAGAACTAATTTTTCTTGCACCCACCTGTGCTTTCTGTCAAATAAAAACTTGTGGTAATGACACAGTTGGGAGAAGCGACAAAGGTTAATGAGCAGCACAAGTGGAGCCGTGTAAAGTATTGGAGCGTAAATTGGATCATACAATTCAGCATGGCTGGGAGAGCTGACAAAGGAGACTGAGATCACAGTGGAAAATTTCGGGAGGCAGGCAACTTAATTTCTGTTGTTTGAACAGCTTAAAACTATTAATACACGCCAATTGTATTTAACATGAAGCTCTGTTTGCGAGAAGCCATTTTAAATGATGAAGCTACAGCTGTTCTGCGGCTCATCAAGATTCTAAACAGTTTTCTATAACTTAATCTTTCACATTCCCGTTACGGAAAGTCCCGATGATGCCTGCTCTTCTATTTGTAATACCAAAGACATAAAAAGTAATGGCTGTTAAGTGACTGTGGTGATTGTCTGAGGCTTGGTATGGACAGATGTTAAGCATTGTAAAAGCCTTTGATAAATTCAGACATAGTCACAGTACTTTATTTTAATGAATATATAACCTAAATGGTAGACCTTGTGGTTTTTTTTTTACAGTGTATGCACATGCATGTCTATTACAAGAGAGAGAGAAAAGCATACTAATTTGTACCATTGAGATGTTTGCTGCGTAGTAGGGTAGGAAATAAAGTGGGGGAGAATTTCCCAGTCATGTCTCTTAAAGGCCTATTCTTCTAGAATTATGAAAAGAATTCCAGTGTAAAAGACTCCAGGATCTGCATTTGTTATTAGATTTTTGTGTGTGTGCGTACACATAAACACACACACACACCCTCTTTGGCAGGCTTCTTTATCAAACTTCTGATAGTGGATTTTATTTTTAAGTAGAAAAAAATTTTTCAAGTGAAGCTGAAAAAACATCTTGAGAAACATAAAAATAAATAAATGACCCATGAACGTCTAAGGCAGAGAGTGTCTGTCAGTTCTATTAAGTCACAGTGGTGGCCCCCGCAGAAACACATTTTGTGCATCTAGCTTGTAGATAAAAAGAAAGGTCAGAGGTCACAGCACGAGTTTATCGCAAACGGTTCTCATGGATTCTTGTTTTCCCTCAGGTTTTCTGGGTTCATTGTTTGAATGGCCTCTTCCACTCGGTTATTCTGTTTTGGTTCCCACTGAAAGCCCTTCAGTATGGTAAGTAGAAAGGCTACTAATGCAGGGAGCTGCTGCCTCACTGTTTTAGGAAAGGAACTCGTCGTTGGTACACCTTCAAAGTTGTGGCCAAGAGTTTCCTTCTGTGGCGTTTTTCTTAATCTAAAATGTATGCATCCAAAAGTGTGCACGCAGGAGGGATTTTTATTATTCCTTCAGTAGTCAAGTGATTTAATCTGTGCAAAGCCTTTCTACTTTATTTCTCATGCTTCTCAAACTTGCAGACTCTATGACATTTTCTCCTTTGCAAATGTATATGCGAAGGCAGTAAGTGCTATTGTCTTATGTCACCTGCTTATTGTACCTACGAGGCTTCTACAATTGAGCCTGATCAGTCATGCTAAGCATTTTCAGGTGAACTTGATCTGATATTTTTTAAATGAATTTTCCCCCTTTGTCTTGGAGTGTCTTTTTCTCCACTGGCTTCAAGGGAGTGATTTTATTCCATTGGTTCTGAAAGAGAGGATCACGGTATACTTCCTATGTACATAAAAATGATGAAGTAGCCACACTAGAAAGGAAGGATGTCTGTCCTGCCTAGTCTGATGCTTCTGAGTCCCCAGGCTGACCTTTTCCCTGGGGTACTAAGGAAGATGCTGGCCCTTCAATGCTCTGTGCTTCAAGGTTGCAAGATGGAAAAACATCAGCTCCTTCTCCACTCAAGTAGCTGCTGCTCCATCCTAAGTACAGGCATTCCCACTATCTATGAATTCATGGTTGCTAGCATAACACCTCCATGCTGCCTGTTCTTGTTCCCCTGCGGGTCCTTTAACATAGGTTTCCAGAGTGACCTTGATAAACCATGAGCCAAGCCAAGTACCTCAAAGCTTACTACACTTCCAACAAACAAGTTACTACAACATTTTAACATCAGATTGCCCACCTCTAGGCTCCTATGTGTTCTTTCCCAGAGAGGCTTTGCACAGAGAAGCCATCTGAGATCACCTTTGTCCCACTACTGCAGCACCCCGATTCCCCTTGCTGTCCCCACATCCGCACATGACTTGCCTAGCCTGGTTGTTTATTTCTCTCTGCATCATCTTCCTCCTCTAAGATTTAGCAGGCTAAGGAGTGAGTCCAGTTGGTAGTGTTAGCTGTTCTCAGAACAGGGCCTCACTTCTCACAGGTACCCAGACAACTGCAGATGGATTATTTCGGCTTACAGTAGGAACGCCTAAGTGTTACCGAGGAGATGGTGAACTCCTGCCCTAGCCAAGATTTTAATCTTCTTTGTCAATTATTCAGGAAATTATAGCAGTACATGCTGCTTAATTTCAAGGCTATGAGAATAGGTTTGTTTTCTTCTAAGGTACAAATAAGTTATTGCAACATTTCAACATGCACAGTTCAATGGTTTTTGGTATCTTCATTCAACTATGAAAATGTCACTACCACTTAATATCATAATGTTTTATCACCCCAGGAAGAAATCCTGTGCCCATTAGCAGTCACTCTCTGATTCTTCCTAACCTTCTTGTAACCCTTGGAAACCACTAATTTTTCTATTTCTGTGAATTTGCCTATTGTAAGCATGTCCTATAACTGGAATTACATACATAACCTTGGCCTTTGTACTTTGCAGCATCAGTCAGCACTCCATCACATTTCCTGGTTAAATAATATTCCGCTGTCTGAATATCCCATACTTTGTCCATTAATCGGTTGGTGGACAGTATGTTGTTTCTCAGTTTGGGGGCAACCAGATCCCAAAGTCCAGGATACAATTCAGGATATTCTGACCTTAAACCAATTGACCAGGTACAGTTAATTTTCAAGATGTAATATTAACATAAGAATGGAAAACAAGATATCACCAATCCATGAAACTACTATTTCAACATTCTAAACTAGAGAAGGGAAAAACAAACCAAAATTTGGGCTGGAGAGATGGCTTAGCAGTTAAGAGCATGGACTGCTCTTCCAGAGGTCCTGAGTTCAATTCCCAGGATCCACATGGTGGCTCACAACCATCTGTAGTGAGATCTGATGCCCTCTTATGGGGTGTCTGAAGACACCTACAGTGTACTCACATAAAATAAATAAACCTTAAAATAGATAGATAGATAGATAGATAGATAGATAGATAGATAGATAGATAGATAGATAAATAAATAAGCCAAACCAAACAGCATATGGTATACTTGGTCATGCCAGATCTCTCGCTGGGTTTACTGGGAAACAGTCCACATCAGCACGCTTCAGCCCAGCCATCCCCAGCAGCTGCTGCCTGTGAAAACCAACTCCAGACAAGTCTAGAGGACTCTGCTTTTCCCTCAAAGACCGAGTTATAGGTAGCACAGACTTGGTAGCAGTTTGAAGTTGAGGGCTCTGTATTGTTCTACCTTTGTGCCACTTTTAAGTGAGTGCTAAGAGACTAACAGACTTGCTTTGCTTTGAAAGTATGGAAGAGCAGGAGTCTATAAAAAAGTACACAATAGAAAACACAATCACCGTTTTTAGTGGAATAATTCCAAGAGTTGCCTATAGTTGTCTTATAAAACGTAAGAGCTTTTGGGAATCTGTGGAGTCAAAATTTGAGTATTTATATATTTTTGTAATATTAAGTCAGTTCTTGTCTTTTTCGGTTATGATATATGGTCAGTGGGGGATAAGGTACATAGTGCTTTGATAAAAGCGATGGACTGCTCTTTGCGTCCATCCAGACTCACAGTTACCCTTGAAGAAACTGTAGGCCAGCCTCTGGTAATCTCTTGAACACTGGTGTACCCAGGAAATGTGGGCAAGCCGCACAGGCATAAAAGCAGTAGCTTGCTCTGTGGGAAAGGTTGTTCCCTCCATGAGTAGAACCATTGGCTTCCAAACAACAACAAAAGAGATGGCTCAGAGGTTAAGAGCACTGGCTGCTCTTCCAGAGGTCCCAGGTTCAATTCCCAGCACCTACATGGCAGCCCATAACTGTCTGTAGCTCCAGGATCCAACACCCTCACATAGACATACATACAGGCAAAATGTCAATGCACATAAAATAAAAATAAATACCTTATTTTTTTAAAAAACTCTATCTCTGGAATAAAAACAATATGTGGTGAGTTTTGGTGTAGTATAAAAGAATGATTGGAAAAGATTACCAAGATAAACACAGACACACCCATTGTAACCCTGTGTACCCCTACAAAGCCGTATTTCTCTGAACTATTTTAACCAAAGCAACATTTGAGAACCCAGCTGTATTCCGTTAAATGCTGGACATTAAAGAGACTGATGTAAAACAATGCCAACTTTCTCGCTCATTTTTGTTTAGGAAAATAGTTATTTTTCATAAAATGTGTTTATATGACTTTGCGCTCGGTTTATTACTGTTATTTTTTTAGATAAAGATACAGATTTCTTTTAATGTTTTGTTTTAATTTCTAATTTGGTAAATACTGCTAGCTATAAAGCATGTATGTGAAAGCTTCTGGGAATCCTCAATAATTTCTGAGTGACTCCACAGATCAGAAATGAAAGCCAGTGGTGTATCAGTCCTCTAAGCGCTCACCCCAGACAGGGCATGTGACTTGTGTGGGCTTGCAAACCAGCCAGAGCGAGGAGCTTCCTGCTGCCCTTCAGAAGGGAGCTGAGCTCCGTGGGAATTGAGTATCAATATTTTCGAAACATCATAACATCTCTTCATTAGTTGCTATTCCTTCATCTACAGTTGTCTTTGCTAATCATCCCTAGAAAAAAAACAAAAGACTTTAGATATGCCCAGAAATCCAGCCAGGCCCTCAAAAAAATCATGTGCCAAGGCATGAGGTTGGTGCTCCTTTGTGTCTGAGCATGGTTTCTCATGGGTCACTCTTGTTTCCACAATAACAGCTTCATTGACAAGGTCCCGGCGACTCTCACTATTCTGCTGGCAACCTTCTGCACCAGGACTCCAAACGTCACATCCTGTCACTACTCAGACCTTTAAGCTTTCTAAGTGATTAAGAGTCCAACGTTTTTATGTATTTATGATGTATTTATTTTCACCCTGTGGATTCGAGGAGTTGGTTAGTGACTCAGCCTTCCCGCTTGCTTTGCATGGGCTCTTGGAATCTGGTGTTTCATTTGTGGCCCATTTGTAGCAGCTTTGTGAGGAAGAGCAGCATTGTCTGAAACATCCACTTCATCTCTGGCCCCACAGCGTACCTCTAGGTTCTTCTTGTGTTCAAAATGGCTAAGTTGCTTCCTCCTTTTTGAGCCTTTGCTTTCTTCTCTAACAAGCCTCTTTTTTTCCTTGCAGGCACGGTATTTGGAAATGGGAAAACCTCAGATTACCTGCTTCTGGGAAACTTTGTTTACACTGTGAGTTGGGGGGGGGGGGGGCTTTGCGTGTTTTTGTCTAAAGCCACACCTTTCGTCTTTCAGATTTAAATGTGTGCAGGGAGAGGAGGGTTAAATGTCATTTGCGGGTTTCCTTTAAAACTAAAATAAGGCATTCGGAGTTATTAAGAGTTTTTGACTTTAAGTTTTGTTGGGTTCATACTCAGGTGATTTTATGTGAACCTTCTCCTCATTTTAACTGGTCAAATAAAGGCTAGAGCCTGTGATTGGGCAGTGGAAGGGAAAGGTGGGGCTGCAAGTTTTAGAAAGGAAGAGAGAGGAAGGAGGAGGGGGAGACTAGGAGACTGAGGAGAGAGAGGACGAGGAGGTGGGAGGAAGATGGAGCAGAGCCATGTGGTCTGGAGGAGTCACAAGTAGCAAGGGATCTATCTCATAGCTGGGAATAGTGAAGTGGTACGTCTGCCCAATCTAGACGTGCAGTTTATAAATATTATAACTGAGTTGTGTGTTCTTTGCACGGGCTTATTGGGGTTGGAGATTTACTGGGTTTTTTATTTTCGTTTTTGTTTTGAGTTTGGACCTCACTGTGTAGCCCAGGCTGGCCTTTTAACTCCGAGCCCTTCTGACACAGCCTCCAGGCCAAGAATGATTGATTACCAGTCATGCGTGTACCATCGCACCTGCTCTTTCTAACTATGATTTGGATTCACTGACTTTATAAGATTTCTGTTACTTTGATTTTCAGTATTTCTTCTTTCTACCTGTTCCCCCCCCCCCTTTTTTTTAATTTTTAACTTCCTCCTCAAATTTATCTTACTGCCATAACTAATTATTTTTGGCCTTCCTGAATGTTCCCAAATTTCATCAAAGTATTTTTGGGTGTACACCCAGTGATTTCTCTAAAGGCTCAAGCTAACTAACTTTACAGCAAGGCTGGAGAAATGGCTCAGTGGTTAAAAACACTGGCTGCTCCTCAGACCTGGGCTCAGTTCCCAGCACCCACATTTGTGAATAACCATCTGTAACTCCAGAAGATTTTCACACTTTCTTCTGGACCTTGGGAGATACCAGGCACACAAGTTGTGTACATACATACATACATACATGCAAACAAGTATTCAAACACATATGATAAAATTTTATTTTTATTTTTTAGTGTGAATGATCAGCAGGCTTATGAAACGTTTTCTCCACAACTGCCAGGACCCACCAAGCTCTTCTCACTGCCACTAAGATGCCAGAAACCACTCAGGCGATTTTTCCCCTAAAAGTCAAGAAGATTACAGAATGCTAATGCCCATGGTGATACAGTTGCCATCCAATCCGTGGTCATTCCAACCTGAATCCTACACGCTCTGACCAGCACTCTGTCTATCCCAAATGTGCCCACTCGCTCCCTCTTCAGCCTCAGCATGGAGAAAGTGTGGCCAATCGGCCATTGATATGACTGACCGATAGTGGTGCTCAAATGTCAATTTGAGCCAGAGAATATAGCTTGTGGAGGAGAATGCAAACTCAAATGTTGGAATGTCTGAATGGTAGGAAATTAAGTTCATTTGCTGTGCTAATTTGTTTGAACTCTCAACTCTACACCATCTAGAAGAGAGTTTAGTAAGGAACTATCTAGAACCAGCTGTCCGATAAACACATGTGTCTGTAGCGATCATCTTGATTGTTAATTGAGATAGGAAAACCCACCATGGATTCGGTTAGGACCATTTCATGGATTGGGCTTTCTGTTGTATCAAAAGGGAGAGTTCTAGCAAGCACACGTGGAGGTGTGCATTCATTCTATCTCTGCACTTGACTGTGGATACGATGCTTAAAAGGCCCTGCCTTGATTTCCCCGGAATAATGACTGTAACCTGGAATTGCAAGCTGGGTCAAGTCAAGATACCTCCAGGTTGCTTTTGGGGGGAAGGGAGGAGGAGAGGGTTGTTTTATCACAGCAATGGAAGTTACACTCAGTTAGCCAGAGGGTCCAGGTTTGGGGAAAATCTTGGGACTTCTTTCCACTGGTGTTTTCTCACTGAAGGAGTGAAGGAAAAGCGCAGCCATGTTTTGAGAGGATCATTCTCTTGAGGCATGAATGCCAAAACAGAACTGTGTGAATACCTAACCCAGTAGGTGGAAATCCATGCGTTTTCCTATCTCAATTAACAGTCAAGATGATCGCTACAGCTTATGTTATGGCTGTGTCTAGGGGGACACATTAAAGTCTCAGGTCTCAAGAGAAATTCTTTTCTTTCATTTGTCATTAATTAGAAATCTTAGGTGGCTTAACCTAAATAATATTTACTAATATGAATTCAATGTCTACGGATATTAATCATAATTTACCACCAGATATCCTGATGAGGAAACCCAACTGTACCTCTATAACGTAACTTTCCAACCCTGCTGAAAAAAAAATGTCTAAAGCTGTCCCAAAGCCTGAAAGTAGGAGTTGACACTGTGGCACTGGGAGTCACCAGTACTGGGCAAGAAGTACATTTCTAGTGCTGAATTAATCCCAATGCCCATAGTTTCCTTGACTTGCAATATTTCAGTTTTTTTCATGTAGTTATAAATAGATCATAATAATATAAGCACTAGTCTTAACTGTTTTCTATTCATTGTTTTAATCAAAAGCAACACTGTGAGGAAGATGTTTTCATCACTGCAGGAAATAACTGCACAAAACAACCTAAGAGAAAAAAGAGCTTATTTGCTCACGGTGTCCAAGGTGTCCATGAACTGACATGGTGGGAAGGTGTGATGATTAATCTTGCATGTGATCACACATTCTAGCTGATGTGATGGCTGCTGTCTCTGGACACATGGGCCTGGGCTGCATTAGACAGGAAGCTGAAATGTGAACCTAAGAGCAGTCCTCTTCTCTCTTCTTCAGTCCCTGCCTACAGCTTCTTGCCCTGAGTTTCTTCCCTGACTTCACTCCATGATAGACTATAGCCCGTAAGATGAAATTAGCCCCTTCCTCCTCGGGTTGCTTTTTTATCATGGTGTTTATCACAGCAAGAGAAAGCAAAATAGAGTAGAAATTGGTACCAGAAGTAGGACCTTCTTGTAACAAACTTTATGATGTTCTAAGTCAGCAGTCGGGTGGGGGATGGGGGTTATTGTGGAGATTTGGGCTGGGGGGCGGGTGATGTGGATTATTGGAGAGATTCAGGCCAGAAAAGACATTGAGTGCTCAAAGATTAATGGGCTATTCTGTGAGAGCCTGGATGACAAAAAAAAATACAGACGAAGGGGCCTGGCTTGTGAAGTTTCAGAGGAAAGTTTTAGGGTCCCTCAAAGCCTCTCAGAGTCATTAGTATAAAAATTTGAATTTAAAACCTGCAGTTTCTAATCAGCTGGAGCTGAAGAATCAGCTGTGATTAACAAGAGACCAGCACCACTGAAGCAATTGCCTAGCTAGGACATTGGGACGGCTGGTGCTGGTTAGCAGGGGCTGGGATTTTGCAGCAGTGATTACTAAGAGACCAGGATCATTGGGGTGAAATCTTCTGAGAAGTATTTCTTCAGGGTCAGTACACAGTGCGGGGGCCAGTGCCGCACATCAGCTTGCTATAGAACTCTGTATAGAGCATGTAGGGTCTCTCCCACGTGTTTCTGGTTTTGAAGGCATGAATGGGTCAGAGAGCAGCTGAGGCTGGATACTGGGTGAAAGGACTAGTGTCTCCCTGAAGACAGGCCCACAGAAGGCATTGCTGAAGATGCAGCCTCAGTTGAAGTGGAGACCCCAGGACTGAAGGGGCCCTGGAGGGAAACTGAGGCTTTGCACTGAAAGAGGCCCTTGTCGTAGTGGAATCCCTAGGATTACTGGAGATGCCAGGACTCTGAGATGCCCACCACAGAAAACTAGACCAGGAAGTAATGGTGGTAAGGAGACAGTGACACAGCGGCAGCCATCAGAGAGAGGATGCATACTCTAACAGGCTTCCTCTGCTTTTGCCTTCTGGTCCCTCACCTTATATAATGACACTGACCACACTTGGGCAAGTTTTCCTTTAGACAGTGCTTTCTGGAAATGCCCACACAAACAACCCCAATGTGGTTTACTAGTCTCCTAGGTGCTTCTCAGTTCTCTCTCAGTGGTTACCACTCAGTGGTTACCACTCAGTGGTTACCACTCAGTGGTTACCACTCACTCAGTGGTTACCACTCACTCAGTGGTTACCACTCACTCAGTGGTTACCACTCACTCAGTGGTTACCACTCACTCAGTGGTTACCACTGAGGCGTCTGTAGGGGAGACACAGAGCAGTCAAGGTAGCTTTCATTTCCTTGTTCCAGAATTGGTAAATTGTCTTAGGGTTTCTATTGCTGTGTTGAAACACTTTAAGCAAAAGCAACTTGGGGAAAGAAAGGGTTTATTTCACCTACTCTTACTTGGCACTGTTCATCATTGAAGGAAGTCAGGGCAGGAACTCAAGCAGGGCAGGGACATGGAGGCAGTTGCTGATGATGCAGAGGCCATGGAGGGATGCTGATAACTGGCTTGCTTATCATGTCTTTCTTATAGAACTCAGGACCACCAGCCCAGGGGTGGCCCCACCCACAATGGGCTGGGCCTTTCCACAGCAATCCCTTATTAAGAAAATGCTCTACAAGCTGATTTAATTTGTCAGTTGAGGTTCCTCTCTCTCAGATGACTTCAGCTTGTGTCAAGTTGGCATTTACTAGCTGGGACACCAATATTATCGCCCGCAGCAGATGGTGTGTGCTTCGAGAAGTGGCTGACTCTCATAGCCTGCATTTGCAGAATGATATGTACCTAAAGTTCCAGAGCTGAGACTTAGGTTCCTAAACGTCTAAGTTGTTTTACTTCTGTAATTTATCTTTAAGATCCAGGAAGTGGGCTTTTAGCGAAACACATTTCAGTTACAAACATTCAGTTAAAAGGGGCTCGAAACCTCACATTCACATAAGTACATGATATTGCTATTGGTGAATTGTCCAGAATTCAGATAGCAGCACGCTGAGTGACCTCCCTAATAGACTCTGAGGCTGTGAGCGCATGAGCAGAGATGGGAGACCCATGCAAATGGCAGCTAATACCATCCCCTAATGAGAGCCATTCACCCGCACGGTGAGCACCCAGCTGGTTTAATTCAGACCTGTTTCTTTGATGGAAGTCTCTCTGTCACGATAGACTATAATACCTATAAAACAAGATGTATGAGACAAAGTAATATTTTTCCCTTTCTGTTTTTAGTTTGTAGTGATAACTGTGTGCTTGAAAGCTGGACTGGAAACCTCCTATTGGACATGGGTAAGAATATCTCCAATCACATGTCTCTTTATCACAAAGCCTACAGTTATTGATTGTGAAGCACTGGACATGGAGGGGTAACTAGGAATTATGGGTGGAATACACTGAGTTTATTACTGTGAATAAATTCCATGAGTTTATTACTATGGCCCCTCCAGCCTTTAACTCAGCACTGTTCACCGTTCCTGCCACAAAATGACAGAGGCAGTCAGACTTAGGTGCCTTTGCTAAAGGATATCGTGGGACTGGTGTTCCATAGAAACCTATTAGGAAATAATTCTGAAGAACAATCAAATTCGTGAGAGGTCTGTCCTTGGACACAAATGCATACATAGTCTGTATAAAACAAGTTCTGCTTCCAACATGTTAGTTTTACAGCCTCTCCACTTCTAGGAAGAGAGGCTCAATAAAGAAAACAAAATTGTAGTTTGTTGCTCAAGGGGGTTGGGGGAGGGAATTGGAAAGAGGAACTTATATTTGACACCCCTTGTTCTCTTGTGTATCTAACATCTTAAAGAACAAGCATATGGAGCACAGAGAAATGTGAATAAAAAGATAGCTGTGGCTTAAAAAGATACAAGTTAGAGTAGAGAGAGAGCCGTGATGGAAATTACAGAACAAATGCATACAATTGTAGCACGTTTCCGGGAGATTGTGTTTTGATCTGTGAGTGTTTCAGTACTGGCTGTGTGCTTGATGGGTTGGGAGTGTCTTGACCCAGATCTCCTTCCTTGCAGTTCAGCCACATTGCCATCTGGGGCAGCATTGCGCTCTGGGTGGTGTTCTTCGGGATCTACTCGTCTCTGTGGCCTGCCATTCCCATGGCCCCTGACATGTCTGGAGAGGTAATGTGTGCTAATGACTCATGCACCAGCAGTGCCTTAGAAATGGGTATCTATTAACGAGCCTGCGTCCTGCTCAGCGTGACTTTCCATTTTGTGGGTCTCTATTCAACTAGCGCTTGGCCACCCTCAAATGCCACAAGCGGGAGAGATAAATCTCCAACTAGTATTTTAACTTCAACATTTAACTTAAATCTGACTTATCCTTTCATAAACATAACTGGAACAATAATATATGGCCATGGGGAACTTGAATCTTGTCACGGATACCCACATAGAAGATGCCATTTTTAAAAATTGGACCATAAATCCACAAGTGCATGTAGGGTAAGAGACTGAGGGAAATGGCATGGCCCCTTCTTTGGGACAATCTGTCATTCGGTCTGCCTGCTGTCTCTCATTCCAAAAAGAAGTCAGCTGTCACTAGATTAAGTGCACTTTTCAAGCTGTCTTAATGACATCAGTTTGACTCTTGTTTTGAAGGAATTGAGACACGTGACATCTCGGCCTTATCATCCTCCGTTTTCAATGCCGTCTTTCAGTTTCTTGTTACACTGGGAGGAATTGAGTTATTAGGTGTTTGTGGGGGGAGTGTCAAAAGATCCCCTTTCCTTCAGAAGAGGGTCCAGCAGTAGGAGGGCTTATGATTTCAATTGCAGGAAATTTGACATAAAATGTATAAAAGAAAATGTGGAAAACATTTCAGGATTTCCTGTGACCGCACAGTAACTTGCAAATCAAGGTAACGTGAGCCCTGTTGCGGGCTGCTGTTTCGCAGTGTTCACAGGAACCCTCTCCGGTGGTTTGCGCGTATTCCCTGCCCGTAACTCTGCCTGCGTGCCCTTCACTTTTGACAGTCTGGTTTATAGATCATTTTCATGAAATCTGATCTGACAGCACCCTGCTTTTTATAAATTAACAGAATGCAGACACTTAAAAAAAAAAGAATGTGGTTAGATTTATTAGAGAGGGGCATTATATACTATTACAGGAAAACCAGATGCACCAAGAAGCCCGCTCTTCCCTCCACCGAACGTGAAGGTATCTTTTGAAACACACACTGTGAAGCCTAGAAAAATTTACAGCATGTGTTTTAAAGAGAGCAGAGAGAAAGCCGAGAACATGCCTCCTCTTTGCCTTGGTTTTAAGTCTCTTTTTTTTTTCTGGAAGAGAAAAATGGTTCATGTGTGTGACATGTATGTCTCCAGTCTCTGACGCTGCTGTGTGGGAAACCCAATGCTGCTCTGTCCCTGTGTTGTGAAGCCTGCCTGAACCTGCTTTCTCCCCAAGCTTAGGCCTAACTGAACCTCTTTCACTACCCGTTAAGTCTCCTTCGTGTACCTATGTCTCTGTGTTGACTTTATCTTCAAAATGAGTACCACAGAAGATCTTGAGACCCCTGATCACTTAAGCAACTGTGGCTAGTGGGCCTGATGACAAGAACTGAGTTTTTGACCACCTACTTCTAGGACAAGTGCAAAGTAGGATTGGCTTCTAGCCAACCAAATATAATTCAGCCCCTGCCTGTAGAATTCCTGGTATTACCCAAACACGGAACTTAATATTGTCTCCTGAGACACCCGCCAGTGCCGTGTTTAATTCAAAGTGAGATGAATGTCAGTACCCCATCACAGTTCTGTTCCCTTCATGGACGGTGGGAACTGCTAATGGGAGCTCTGTTTCTTCCTGCTTTGTGACTACCGCAACTTTGGATAAAGAATTTACATAGCTGGAACATCATTGAAAATATAAGGACTGAACCAGTCCAACTGTAGGCTTTACTAGCTTGTCCAAAACATGTCAGTCTTGCTAATCCAAGGAAAGATTGATTCTTTAACACTGTGCTGCACTTCAGTGCTTGTCACGCCTTCTGATGTGTGTGTACATGAGCATATGTGTGTTCAAATGAACCTCCTCTCCAGCCAAGGGTTTGACAGAACTGCCATTCATGTTGTCAAACATCGGTGGCGTCCATTTGTTTCTTGAGCAGTGGGGTAACAGGATCTCCTGTGCTCAGCTTGTGACATTTCATGATAAGCACAGCTACTAACGGTTATATTAGAACTCAAGTCATTTCAGAAAGAAGTGATTTCTCATGTGTGTGAAATTTTACATATCCTAGAATTCTTTATCTCAACTGACACTACAGACTCACTCTCTCTCTCTCTCTCTCTCTCTCTCTCTCTCTCTCTCTCTCTCTCATATATATATATATATATATATATATATATATATATATATATATATAAAAAGTTTTCACCTTTGTGCCAATATTTTATATCTATTCTAAGGTTGGGCAAACACTGGCTGATCATCTTACAGTTCGTTTATTCATCTGACTTTCATAATGAAGTCAATGCAGTGTACATACAGCAGCACATTATTGTAGGTAGCAGCCGTCAACACTAACTGGCTTGACATGTGCTGTATAATACACGTAGTGAAACACCACCCAGAGCAAGGCCCAGAGTGTGGGGGTACTTCACAGAACTCCTGACACAGTGTGGGTAAGAACTTTCTCTCACCACCAATAGCAAGGTCACCGGTGTATGGTCCAGAGTCTACATGTCCTACAATCCAGTCCTTCCCTGTCTCAGCACTTCCTTCTGAGACTAAATTGTATGCGTAGGTTTGTCCTTAGTTGCCAAAGGCAGTCTTCAAGAAAATGGTATAAGCAGGCTTTGGAGGCTGTGGTTCTCTGCAGCCTTAAAGGGGCATTGTGGGGAAAATTGAAGAAGGCTGCCACAGCGGCGCAAGCCCCACATCAGGGAAGAAGATCCTATGGTTCCAGCGGCCCGGAGGCCTTGGCAGTGGCAGGCCCCAGTAACACGAGGAAGTCCTTGGTTCCAAAAAGGTTTATTGTCATGGCGGATAATAGATGGATCTAGGCGTACCCCCAGTCCCGAGTTATATAGGGAGGGAGAAAGGGGGAGGATTGGGGGAGGACCTGGGGGAGGAATGTTTAATTTGCTCTGCCCTCTGGCCTTCATTAGTATGTAAATCTCTAGGGCCTGAGGCCTATAGCCTGGCCTATGTGACTCTATGGAGATCTATGTGACTGCTTTTCAGGATCCTAGATGATGGGAGGGACCGAACTTCTGCCGGTTCTCATGCAGAATTCCACGGAGAATCTCGGAGTTCTAAGCACCTGCTCAACCATGACCCAGGATACCCTTACGCAGTCCCACAGGGCATTGGCTGGGTAGTGGGTTTCTGAAAGGCAGCTACGGTCTGGGAAGCACCATAATGCCAGTCACCCCAGTGCTGTTGAGCACTCACCTCCCCTAGGGTACTTTTCCGAGGACTGTATGCATAGTCAATTGGTCTGACAAACATCTACTGGGATTCTTCTGTGTCAGCCACTTTTCTAGGCACTGGATTCAGGAATAACAGAAAGCACACCCTTCCAGAGCTGACTTCTCTGGTAGGAGGAGGAAGACAATGAGTAAGTGGAATGAGGTAAATAAATGTGCTCATGGGCAGAGAGAGGTGCAGCAGGTAAGAGTACCATGAGCCAAATCTCCATGGAACCCTAAGGTGTTTGCTCATGATCAGACAAGCCACCATTGGATGAACCTGTCAGACATTCACTTCCGGGTTCCCATCACAAACTTGTTCTAGTAACCAATTTAAAGACAAATTAACTGAGGACTTTAGTCTGACCTCCCATAGGGAATGACAAAGAAAAGACTTTGAGAAATGCTGCCACTTCTCTGGTACTAGATGCTTAGTTAGGGCACCATGAATCTGTAAGGAAGCTCCCGAAGAGGAAACCTGTTGTCTGCTGTCCTACAATGCTGCTTTTCCAAGGCATTGATTCTGCAAGTGTCATTGCAGGGCCACGGCAGGACCAAATGCTGCTATCTTTGTTTCTTTGCTTATCCACTTGTACGGGACAGGGTTACCCTAGGGCCCCATGATGGACGGTAAATGACATCAATGTAAACTTCTGCTGTGTCTTCTGCAAACGGAAGAAAAACAGGGTAGAAGATGCAGAGAGGTAGATTTCAGCTCAAATAACTCTCTTTCTATATGACAGAGACAGAGCAAAATGTTGGGCTTGCCAAAGTCATGCTCCGGTGATGGGAACCAGTTCAGTCACTAGCAAACTGAAGCAACAAGTTATCCATCCCACAACTCCATAGTGCCTTCTAGTTCCAACACAGCCTCTCCTCCCGCCCCCAACCCCCATGGCTTCTATGGCAAGTGGAACAAGTTAAAAGGGTTCAGACCCTTGCTCTAGCTCATAGGCTTCAGGGTATGACTTCTACAACTTACAGATATAGGACCATGCTTCCAAGTCAGCTCCATAGGTACTCTGGTTCTGGACCGTGTGCTCATGTCCACCTTGTGGTTTTGGGTCACCTTTGCAGCCTTTGATGTGTGTGAAGACACAGCCGCTTTTCACAGCATGTGGAAGGGAAAACCTTGCTCACCAAGAGCGGAAAGAAAGAGCCAGTACTCCTCATGCGTCCAGTCTGTTCTCCTAGTGACAAGCATGACTCATGCTAGTTAGCTTCGTATTGTCATAAGCAGAGAAATAGCCAATGACTAGCTAGTGTGCCAGAGAATGAAGTTCCAACTTTATTTTCAAATCCCACTGGTTTCTTCCAACACACTGAGGATTCTCTATCTTCTCTTGGGTACCCATTGTTGCTCCTACTTCAAGGCAGGAGTGCTCTTTGTAGAAGTTTAGTCTGGCTCATCCTCCCAGATCCATGCTCCCAGAAATAAGACTCAGACTCTAAATATATTTACAAATATCTTTACTTTGTAGCTAGGTTCTCCTCTGACTAGATCATAACTTAAAGTAACCCATTTATTGTAAGGTACACTCTACCATGTGGCTGGTGCTCAAGCACCATGCATCCGTATTTGTCATGATCTTCCCAGGCAAATCTCCCTTGCTTGACACAATCCCAAAATCCTTTCTGCCTACAGGATGTCCCACCCCCTGCTTCCTGCCTAAGCTATAGGCCGTCAAATTTATTATTGACAGGTAC